ATTGGAGTGATGTGGACACAAGCCCAGGAATGTGTGCAGCCTTAGAGAGTGGAAGAGGCAAGCGAGGACCCTCCCCTAGAGCCTCAGAGGAAGCATGGCCCTGCCTACACCTTGCCTTTGGACTTTTGGCATCTAGAAATATGAGAAAATAAATTTCTATTTTTTTTTAGCCACCAAGTTTATGGCAATTTGTTACAGTGACCTTAGAAAACTAACATAAATGTTGTACTAGTTTACAGATTTTATATTGATTTCGCAGGGCTCCCCAAACAAATTACCACAGATTTGATGGCTTAAAACAACTGGTATATACTTTTTAATAGTTCTGGAAGCCAAAAGTTGAAATCAAGGTGTTGGCAGGGCCACTCTCCCTAGATGCTCTAGGGGAGAATCTGTTCCCTGTCTGCTCTAGTTTCTGGTGGCAGTTGACATTCCTTAGACTCTTGGGCTTATGGCTGCATCACTCCAATCTCTGCCTCTGTCTTCACATTCCCTTCTCGTGTGTGTGTGTGTGTGTGTGTGTGTGTGTGTTCTCTTCTGTGTATCTATTCTAGTGAGGACAAAGTACTGCCCCTTCTATGATGGAAGTGGTCCAAATGAATGGACCTGCCACCAGGTGTCTGGCTGATCACCCCGGGGATGATGCCATATGGGGACTCAGTGTGGGCTCTGCTGCTGGCAGATTGGGCAGTCAGCAGTGGCCGTAGCCAGGTTGGCCTTGGTGAGTGGAAGTCCATGTTGAGCCCATGCATAACCTCCCTGTCTGTCCTCCTGGCCACTTGTTCATAAGCCCATTGGATAATGACAGAAGTGGCTGGAGAAAGAGACTGACTGGTGTCCACAAAACTGGTCATCCTATCTGCTTGACTATCCAAACACTTCTCTGCTGAGGTCACCCTTTGGTGAATCTTCACATGGGACACAAATGTCTTCACGATTTTCCATGTCTTACCTTAGAAGACCCATCACTTGCTCTGCTTTATCCCCTCAGTACCTATCATTCTCAGATGCCCTTCTACTAGACTTATAGACAGTGGCCAGCACTTCCTCCTTTCCCTGGTATTGCTGGATTCATGAGAGAGTCTCATGTAGGTAAAATTTCCAATTATCTAGAACTTAATATCCTGTTAATAATCCAATTATAACTAAAATATTTCAGGTTGAAATTTTACTTAAGTTTAATTACTTACCTTCTTAAATTGAAATTTCATAAGATAAAAAATTTATCTGTAATCTCTCCTACTTAAAAAATAAACTGCACACATTTATTTCTGTATTTTTCCAAGTCCTTGTCCCCAAAGCATACATAATTTTACATTGTTGTAATAGAGTAAAAATAATTGTGTTTTCTACATTTTCAGTTTAGCATTAAAGCATTGTCTATATTCCTTTTTTTTGCCACTTAAGAAAATGCAGGTTGTTGTAAAAACAATAAACATGAAATGCAGGCAATTTTTATTGCCTTGAATACAATAGGAAATTATTTCCCACTCATGTAATGGTCTAATGTGGATGTTCCTGGTGGGCAAAGACTCTTGTCTATCCAGTGGGACAGAGACCTAGGTTCCTTCCATCTTGTGGCTCTGGCCTCTCCTAGAGCCACATGGGCACCTGTGCTGGGCCTGTAGATGAGGAAACAGGCAGTGTAGAGAAAACATATCTGCTTTCTAGGATCCTCAGCCCAGAAGAAGTGCGCATTACTTTTATTGTCATTCTCATACTAGTTTATCACCCATTGTTCAAATGCATCATGTGGCCGCACTTAGAAGCCAAGGTGGGCTGGAAAATGTCCTGGCTTGGCAGCTGTTCCTCCACAACAACTCTGTGCTATGGGAGGGGGTCACACATTTTTGTGACTGCTCCCCAAGTCTATACACTTTTCATAATTTTCCTTTTAAATGCCTGAACAGTATTCTGTAAGTTGACACATCACACTTTCTTGAACAGGTTCTTCATTATTAGACATTTATAAAGATTGTTTTTAAATTTTAATTTTTTAATAAATGGCACTGCAGGAAGTATCTATATGTGTATATACCTTTCTCCTTTTAAAAGGTTATATCTTTGAGAATAATTCTGAAAAATGGGAGGGAGAGAACATTATTAACAAAAGTTACAAATATTTTTCAGATTCTTGACTCTTCAGACTTATTACTTGAGGGCAGTGACTAAATTGTGTTCATTTCTTTATCAGTAGGGTCTTCTATATTGCTATTCAGTGTGGTAGGTACTCAATGAAATGAGTTGAATGACTACATACATTTAATAATAAGAGCATAAGGAAAATAATTTATCATGGCTCTGGATAATAATATGAGTGTAATTATTGTCTTTTGCCTTTCCTGTCTTGATTAGTGGCACCACTATCCATCATGCTATTCTGGGTATAAAGCTGACAGTTACTCTTCATTCCTTCCTCACTGCTTCTATATTAGCTGTTTATTGCTGTGTAAGAAATTACCACAGAACTTAGTGGCTTCAAACAGCATATGTGTTATCTCACAGGTTCTGTGAGACAGGAGATGGGTTGTTCTGGCTTGGGAACTCTCATGAGGTCGTAGTCACATGTTGATAAAGCTATTGTCTTACAAAAGTTTGAAGGGGCTGGAGGGTTCACTGCAAGATGGCTCAGTCACTTGGCTGGCAAGGTGGTGCTGGCTGTTGGTGACAGGCTTTGGTGTGTCTCCACAGGGTTCCTTGAGTGTCTTCATGACCTGATGTCTGGCCTCTCTCAAAATGAGCAGTCTAAGGGAGCAGGGCAGAAGTGTCTATGTCATTTGTGACCTCACCTTGGAAGCCACACGCTATCACTTCTACGGTATTATACTGGTCACCCAGATCTACGCTATTCAGTGTGAGAGGGGACTGCACAAAGGCACAAGTGCCAGAAGGCAATGGCTGGGGCCATTTTGGAAGCTGGTCACCACAGCTCCTCTCTTTCATATTCCAGTCCATCTCCTGTTCAGCTCATTCTCATTCTAAAAATCTACGTGAGATCGAATAACTCCTCTTCATTTCTGCTGGCTCCAGCCTGGTCCAAGATACTATCAACACTCCACTGGGATAGCCTCCCATCTGATCTTCCTCCTTCTCATCTTGCTACTCTTCTATATATTTTTTCCCATAGCAGTCATTCATCATTCATTTAATTTTTTCTATTAATTTATCCAGCAAATATTTATCGTACACTTAACCACATACCAAGTTTGTTCTAGGTTTTTGAGCTATTGCAGTAAAACAGTCCCTGGGGCTTGTATATAGTGGGGAAATAAATAATATGGAAACATTAGGTGGCAATATGTGTGATACAGGAAATTATAGCAGGTAAGGGAAATAGAGAACAATAGGGAAGTTACAGACTTATGGGTACTGCATTATAGAGGACTGTCAAGGATGCTATTGTTGCTTAGGCAACACTAGAAAAGAAACCTCTTGGACAGAACATGGGGAGCAAGTATGTGAATACCTGGGTAGGAGTGTTCTAAGCTGAGGGAAGAGAAAATGCAAAGGCCCTGAGGCAGGATCATGTTTGGTGTGTTTGAGGAAGAAACACTAAGCTGTTACCATGGCTAGACAGAGGGAGTGTGGGAAATGGACAGTGGTAGGTGATGAGGGTAAGATCAGGTATGGTCTCATTGACTCTGATGAAGACTTTGGTGTGTTTATTTGCTTATCATCTGTCTCCTCTAGTTGGAAATACATACTCTGTGGATGTTGTGGTGTGTGGGTCTCTCCATACCAAATCATCCCAACACTGCCCTGCTTTTGGAGTTTTCATGTTTGCTCTTTTTGTCTCTTCTGTATCTTTTCCCCTCTGTGTCTTCCCTCACTGTTATGTCCGGTCAGTGACTGACCTCTCGCAACGTTGGTGCCAGGATGACTTTGCTGTTGGACTGGATGCGAGAGCTTGCTTTGGTTTGTGGGCTACATCAGTATTCCTCAAATGAATTATCTGGGAAGAGAGGAAGGTATCCTATTAAAATGAAGATTTTTATTCGGCAGGTCTTGGGTGGGCTTTGAAGTTCTGCATTTCTATCAAACTTGCCGGTGATGCCCATGCTGCCAGTCCTTTGAGAAACAGAAATGAGGGAGCTTGTTTGCCAAGCTTGGCTGAACACTGGAATCACCCATGGAGCTTTAAAAACTACTAATGCCTGGATCTTGCCCCCAGAGATTGCAATATAATTAGTCTGGAATGTAGTCTGAGTACTGGGATTTTTAAAAGCTTCATAAGTGATTCTAATTTGTAGAAACATTTGAAAACCACTGGACTGGATGTTATTAAACACAATTTTAAAACAAAGTGTAGTGAGTAATGTTCTTCAGGGCTGTGTTGCTAACTCTCTAAAAAGTCAGTTTTGTAGCTACAGGAGTCTGTCCACACCCATGGATGACCTCCAGACCTTGGCTTAGCATTACTGGATAGTTTCTCCAATGGCCTCAGCACTTGCTGTCACGTAGCAGCAGAAATAGAATTCCTATCTTCAGGAGAGTGGTAGTCCCTGAAAAGTAGAGTTAAAGTGTGCCTGCTGACGATGAGTTGTAGTAAACCAGGTCTCCTGCTCTGTGAGCTTGTTTCCAGGCCAAGAGAGCAGAGGAAGCAGAGAAGCACTCCTTTCTTTATTCTTGTAATTTCTAGCATGTTCATGTGTATAGTTTCTGAGTCAGTACCCACATTAAGAACATCTTGTGTGGTTCAAGCAAATACCTTGGTCATCTAAAGCAGATGTTTCAAACTACTGAAGATCATTGAGGCATAGCCTATTTGTAGATTTATCATTGACTACTAGAGAGGGATTCCCCAAATTGTCTTAGAGATATTGGGAAGGAGAGATAATGCAAGAGCTCTTCCTACTCCATGTCCCCTAAACTAAAGCCCATTCATTTAATTTTGCACCTCATTGGGTGTTAACCAAGCCTGGGACACTTTCCTGTTGAAATGCTTTCAATCCCTTGCAATTGGATTTACTGTTTGTTTGTTTTTTCCCTGGATTGTCTAGATTGGACGACTGATTATTGGACAGAATGGCATCTTGTCAACACCTGCAGTTTCCTGCATTATCAGGAAGATCAAGGCAGCTGGTGGAATCATCTTAACAGCCAGCCATTGCCCTGGAGGACCAGGGGGAGAGTTTGGAGTGAAGTTTAATGTTGCCAATGGAGGTATGTGGTCCAGAACATGCCTTAATGATCATGATTTCCTTCCTTTTATATTATCATAGTCTTACAATGACCGTCTGGTGGTAGACAAGCAAGGTGGAGAGGAAATGGCTCATAAAAGTCCAATGAGGTGCCTACAGTGATCTGACAAGGAAGTGGCATAATGGGCTCTTGAACTCATTTGGTTGGTCTCTTGTAGTCCTGCACTCCTCTGCATAGTGAAATGGTCGAGTAGTTGATACTTATCTGATATGAAAGGACTCTGGGTTCTAAAGTTGAAACATACCCTGAAGGTCACTTAGACCATTCTCCTCATTTTACAGATGAACAAATTGAAGCTCTAAGAGGCTGAGTTACTGTTGAAGGCCACGTGGTCATGCAGGATCAGACAAATGATTTTTAGCTTAAGTTCAGGGCTCTTGCTTTGTCACAGTGTTAACTTTCTGTCACTGAAATGCATAGAATTATTTCACTTTTTCTTATATTTATAGCAGTTTACAACTTGGAGGACCTTATGGGGGGTGGAATATATGTATAGGAATGAATTTCTTAAAAAAAATGAACATACATTAAAAGGAAAGGTAATAATAGATACCATGTATCCATTCCCTAGTTTTTCTATTTTTCTTATCATTTTTCTTCTGAAGAATTTTAAAGGAAATTATAGTGTGAGAACATTTCACACCTATTTTTTATGCATCTCTTAAAAATAAAGACATATTCCTGCATAACTACATTAATAACTACAAAAATAATAATTCTCTAATATCATGTGAAACTTAATCTATAGTCAAATTTTTCCAGTGATCCCCAAAATGTTCTTTATAGCTGTTTAATTCAAATCAGGAGGCATCTCAGAACCATGTATTTGGTTGGTCAATCTCTTAAATCTTTAAAAATCTAGAATATTGAGTCTGCTTGTGTATGTGGGTGGGAGCTGAATTTTAACCAACAATTACCATTATGAATTATTTCTGGTTCCAGGCAAAACAGTGCATTCTGAAGGGAAATTTTATTATTCCTCCCTCCTTGCAGCCACTTTATGTATTATCCAAAAAAAATAAACTTTATTCATGTTGAGTGTTTTATAAAAAGAATCATAATAATCACAAAACAAAAAACTATAGCAGATACAAATAAGAAAGAGAAAGGAATCAAATTTAACACTACAGAAAATTGCCAAATCACAAAGGTAGACAACAAGAGAGCAAGAAAGGAACAAATGGTCTATAAAGCAACCAGAAAACAGTTAGCAAAATGATGGGAGTAAATTATTATCTATCAATAATAACCTTGAATATAAATGGATTAAACTCTCCAGTAAAAGACTTAGAATGGCTGAGTGGATAAAATCAAAAGATCCAACTATGTGCTGTCTGCAAGAGACCGATTTTAGTTTTAAGAACACATAGAGGCTGAGAGTTAAGAGATGGAAGAAGGTATGGCCAGGTGCGGTGGCTCACGCCTGTAATCCTAGCACTATGGGAGGCCAAAGTGGGAGGGCTCACGCCTGTAATCATAGCACTCTGGGAGGCCAAAGTGGGAGGATCACTTAAGGTCAGGAGTTTGAAACCAGTCTGAGCAAGAGTGAGACCTCCATCTCTACTAAAAAATAGAAAGAAATTAATTGGCCAACTAAATATATATATAGAAAAAATTAGCTGGGCATGGTGGCACATGCCTGTAGTCCCAGCTACTCGGGAGGCTGAGGCAGAAGGATTGCTTGAGCCAAGGAGTTTGAGGTTGCTGTGAGCTAGGCTGATGCCAGGGCACTCTAGCCAGGGCAACAGAAAGAAGGTATTTCATGCAAAGAGTAATCAAAAGAAAGTGTAAGTGGCTATACTTATATCAGGTAAAATAAATTTCAAGTCAAAAACTGTTACAAGAGACAAAGAAGGTCATTCTTTAATGATAAAGGAGTCAATTCAACCAAAAGACATAACATTTGTAAATACATATGCACCCAACATTGAAGCACCTAAATATATAAAACAAATATTAATGGACATGAAGAAAGAAATAGATAGCAATGCAATAATAGTAGGGGACTTCAACATCCCACTTTCAACAATGGATAGATCAGTCAGACAGAAAATTAACATGGAAATACTGAAATTGAACTGCACTTTAGACCAAATGGATCTGACAGACATATAAAGGACTTTCCTTTTGATGGCAGCTGAATATACATTCTTCTCTAGTGCACTTAGAATGTTCTCTAGGATAGATGATATGTTAGGCCACAAAACAAGTCTTAGAAAATTCAAGAAGATTGAAACCACATCTAATATTGTTTCCAACCACAACAGTATGAAACTAGAAATCAATAACAGGAGGAATCTTGGAAAATACACAAATATATGGAAATTAAACAACATGCTTCTGAACAATCAATGGGTTGAAGAAGACATAAAAAAATATCTTGAGATATGTGAGAATGGAAACACAACATGTCAAAACCTATGGAATGTACCAAAAGCAGTTCTAAAAAGGAAGTTTATAGCTATAAATGCCTAGATTAAAAAAGATGGTACATGTATATCATGGAGTGCAACTCAGCCATAAAAATGATGATTTAATGCCTTTTGCAACAATTTGAATAGAACTGAAGACACTTCTCCTAAGTGAAGTATCTCAAAAATGAAAACAAAAAACAAAAAACCCACACCACATGTACTCATTATTAAATTGGAACTAACTGATGAGCACACATATGCACAGAGGGAAGTAAAACTCAGTGGAAATCAAGCAGGAGGGAGGGGAGAGGAGAGGATGAGTGAAAACCTACCTAATGGGTATAGTTAACACTATTTGGGTGATGGGCACACCTATAGCCATGGCTCACACATTACGAAAACAATTTTTTTGTAACCAAAAACATTTGTACCCCATTAATATCTCAAGAAAGATCTCAAATAAATAGCCTAATATTATACCTCAAGGGCATAGAAAAAGAAAAACAAACTAAACCCAAAGTTAGAAGAAGGAAGGAAATGATGAAGATCAGAACAAAAACAAATAAAACAGAAAAGCCACAGGGAAAAAATCAATAAAACTAAGAGTTGGTTGTAAAAATAAGCAAAATCTACAAACCCCTGGCTAGACTAAGAAAAAAAGAGAGACAACTCAAATAAATAAAATCAGAAATGAAAAGTGGAGACTTTACAACAGATACCTCATAAATAATAAGGATCATAAAAGACTATTATGGACAATTATATGCCAATGAATTGGATATCCTAGAGTGGATGAATAAATTCCTAGAAAAATGTAACCTACCAACATTAAGTCAGGAAGAAATAGAAAATTTGAATAGATCAATAACAAAGAAATTGAAGAAGTAATTTAAACCATTCCAACATAGAAAATCCTGGGACTAGATAGCTTCACGGCTGAATTCCACCAAACATTAAAAGAAGAATTAACACCAGTACTTCTTAAACTCATCCCAAAAATAGAGCTAGAGGGAATACTTCCAAATATATTTTAAAAGACCAGCATTACCTTGACACCTAAGCTAGACAAAGACACTGCAAAAAAAGACAACTACAGGCAAATGTCTCTAATGAACATTGATGCAAAAGTCCTCAATAAAATATTAGCAAACCAAATTAAACAGTACATCAACAAAATTATACATCATGGCCAAGTGGGAATTACCCTGGCATGCAGGGCTGGTTTAACATATACAAATCAATCAATGTGATACATCACATTAACAAAATGCAAGGTAAAAACCACATAATCATCTCAATTGATGCAGGAAAAGCATTTGACAAAGTTTAGCAGCTTTTCTTGATAAAAACTCTTAACAGTTTGATATAGAAGGAATATTCCTTAACATATTAATAATAAAGATCATTTATGAAAAACCCACAGCTAACATCATAATCAGTGGGGAGCAACTGAAAACTTTTCCACTAAGGTCTGGTACAAGGCAGGAACACCCACTCACCACTTTTAGTCCACATAGTACTGGAAGTACTAGCAAAAGCAATTAGATAAGAAAAAGAAATAAAAGGCATCCGAATTGGAAAGGAAGAAGTAAAATTATCTCTATTTGCATTTTGTAGATAAAGGATTATGTCATTCTCCATGATCTTTTATGTAGAAAACCCTAAAGATTCCCCAGAAAACTGTTAAAACTGATAAATGAATTCAGTAAGTTGCAGGATACAAAATCAACTACAAAATCAGTAGCATTTCTATACATAAATGACGACCAAAGCTGAAGAAGAAATCAAGAAAAGAATCCCATTTACACTAGATAGCATAAAAAATAATTAGGAATAAATTTAACCAAGGAGACAAAAAAATTTGTACATTAAAAGCTATAAAACACTGATGAAGGAAATTTAAGAAGACACAAATAAATAGACATCCTGTGTTCATGGACCAGAAAAATTAGTTGTTAAAATGTCTATGCCACTCAAAGCAATATATAGATTTAGTATAAAACCTATCAAAATTCCAATAACATTCCTCACAGAAATAGAAAAAAAACAATACCATAATTCATATGGAACTACAACCCCCCCCCCCAATAACCAAAGCAATACTGAGGGGAAAAAGAGTTGAAAGCATCACATTTCCTGATTTAAAATTATATTATAAAGCTATAGTAACCGAAACAGTATGGTACTGGCATAGTAACCAAAACAGTATGGTACTGGCATAGTAACCGAAATAGTATGGTACTGGCATAGAAACCGAAACAGGGATGACTAGAACAGAAGAGAGGCCCAGAAATAAATCCAAACGTATATGGTCAACTAATTTTTTGGCAAGGGCACCAAGAAGACACAACGGGAAAAGGATAGTTTCTTCAACGAATGATGGTGGGAAAACTGGATTTCCACATGTTAAAGAATGAAATTACGCCTGTAATCCTAGCTCTTGGGAGGCCGAGGCGGGCGGATTGCTCAAGGTCAGGAGTTCAAAACCAGCCTGAGCAAGAGCGAGACCCCGTCTCATATATAAAATTAGCTGGGCATAGTGGCACA